CCCCGCCTCGGCCGGGCCGGGCCGGGCCGGGCCGCCCCGGGGCGTGTGAGCGGGCACGTCCCGCCGCCGCCGCAGCCCTCAAAGCCGCGTTGTACCCTGTCCGCAGCGTGCTCTGTAGGCAGGGGAATAATTTGAAAATGAGGTGTAATTGCTTCCTACATTAAGCATTTTTAAACGCTTAAGTAGACGGCGAATTTCCTACGTTTTAATTACAGCACAATATAACTGTTACTTAATAAATCTCTGTCTAAATCTCTGTACTTGCTAATCAAATCCCATGCCAGGAGAAAAGCTATAAAAGGCTCAACTGTTACTCGTTGGGAAAGCGCAGGTTTTGAAAACTGTTTTCCGGGCGATGGAAACATTTCTAAACCTATCTATCAGAGGTTTCTCAGATACACTGACTTCCCGGCCATTCATTTGTTACGCTTATAATGGAGTCGAGGAAAAACTGCGGTCTCCCTTTAGCGTGTTCCCATTCAAAGACAGAGGTTTTGGACGTATTTTTTGAGTTCTGTGTCTGGTTTTGGATTCGATGTCGAGGAGACTTTTGTAGCTCGTAGTTGGTGCTGAGAGTAGCTGAATCGGACCCTTTCAGATTCAAGACGTGGAGCGCAAACTGCGGGAACGCTTGCAAAGAGGTGAATGAGGCAGAGTGGGAAGTACTGTAGGCCCCAAAAGTGAACACCCGCTTTATTACATATATTGCCTTACATACAATATGCCGCCCTTAATGCTGTCCTATTTGTTTTGTATTACATTTTGCTATTATGCCATTATTATTCTGTTCATTTCGCATCACAAATAACGTGCACTGTAGCATAGCCATGACTGCATGGTTAAAGATGGAGTTAGATTTAGAGTTAATATTCATCCTTCCACAGTTTTCTTTAAAAATGAAACAAAGTGTTAGCAGTTTTACTAAAAATGATGGAAATGGCTTGTCATTATTCTGTTAAGAACAGCTGTACTGCGGCTGCGTTGTCTTAGGTTCCAGGCTGGGCTTTCTGCACAAGATTCTGCTGAACTATTCACAGGATCTGGCTCGTAGGCTATAAACCATTGCCTCTGTTGGAATCTCATTTACCTCAACAGACGTGCTGAGGAACAATGTTATGTAAATCGGGTTATTTTCAGTGCTGGTGTTGGAAACTATTTTTTATCTTTTTTTACTCTTTCAGTATTTATGCTTTCATCTTCATAATATATCACTGTTCTACTGTCAATACCAGTCTTACTTTAAAGTTTTGTTCAACCTGAAGCGTCACCTGATAAATGTAATTTAATCATACTTGCTATTTAAAAATGGAGCAAATTGCTATTAATAAAATGGAATTCATTTATCAAAATACATTGTCCAGAGAGTTTAAAAGGGCAGAAAAGCTAAAGAGTATTTATCCAAAAGGTCATTTTCAGAACGCTGTTCACTAAAAAAAGACACAGAGGAGATTCTACCCCTAACCCCACCTCCCCCTCCCTTAATAATATGGGTAAATAGAATTTCACTTTGGAGAGTTCTAAAGTATAGACCAGTCTATTCTTGTAGTGTTCAGACTTGCTTAGCAGCGAATTCATTCACATGTACATTAGTTGCTTGGTCTGTCACAAGTTTACTACCTTGCTAATTTAGAATGTATTCCAAAAATTTAATGTCAAATAAGGATGTGAAAATGTGATTTTTTGCAGTATTTGCAACATTATTTTGCCAAAACATTTGTTCCAGCCAGGTGCAAAGTGAAGTTTATGAACTGAATTCTTGCTGCACGTAGCACTGACTTACTAGCTGTCTGTTCGCTGAAGCGCAGCGAGTCTGGGGTGACAGTCTGTGACAGCAAAGTCTCACCAAAAGCCTCTGACGTCCTTGGATCTTTTCGTAGTCTCTCGCAACGTGTACTGCTTTGGGTGTAAACAGATGAGCAGGGCACAGGAGAGAACATTGGTTCATTTGTGCAAATCTAGCAAAGGCGTTATCTGGAACGGTGGAAAAATAGGAAAGCCACAGTCGTAATTTATATGTTAGAAGGACTACAGTGAAATAGGCTCTGTCTTTGGATTTCAGGGTAAATGCTATTTTCCTCATCTCCTTTGGGCAAAGCTCATTACAAAAGCTGGGTCTTAAGAAGGCAGACAGCAGATTTCCCCCAGAGAAGAGAAGTGACTGTTCTGTAATATTTCAGTTTTACGTCTGTATTACCGAAGTCAGAGGCGCCTACAAGAGGAGTAGAGCAGCAGGGAATCAAGTGTGCGTGCTTTACTTAGGCTTTCCAATTACACAACAGGAGCAGAGGGAATGTGCTCTGAAGCACATTAACAAAGGATTTTGTGTGAGTGATAGGGAATTCTGCTGTTTCCACCAAATATCAGCTATATATTTTAAGCACCAGCAATGCATTTTAAGCATCAGCAGCATTCAAGGTTCACCTGTCTACAGCTTGCAAATAGCTCCATAGCTACTAGTCGAGTGAAGGGCTTGTTCCCCAGCCTTAGTCATGGAAGATATTATTTTACTTCTCAAGAAATCCCCTGGAAACTCCCTCTGCATTAAGGGAAGAATTGAGCCCAAAGAACAAGGTCTTTCTGTACTTATAAAATGTATTTATTTGAGCCCACCTTTTATATGATATACATTTTTTTAACACCTGGGATCCTGGAGGCTTTTTTCAGGCGAAACACTTATTGACCTCCCAGACTTGTCAGCTGGCAGCCGAGGCCGATCTCTTCGATGGGTTCGAATGGCTGCATTTCACCCCTTGCTCCACACATCAGTGGGAATTCGGCCTAGGAAAGGATTCCACAAAAGAGGCAGGAAGACTTCACATTTTTGCCTCAGCAATATACAGTCACACTCGTTTAACACGAAACTGAACCTCTGGATGTAGAACATTTTTCACTTTAAGTATTATGAATTTCCTGGTGTCTCTGGGGCCTTTGTTTGCAATGTTGTTCAGTATTTGGGTTTGCGGAGTTGAAAGCTCTGCTTGGCAGACTGTGATTCTGTACCAAACGTTCCCCAGAAAATCACAGAGATGGCTTGTTAAGTTTCTGTTCATTTTTAATTACCTGATGTCCCAAGTTGTCATTTATACATAAGCAATTGCATTATATTTTCCCGGTGCATTGTATTCACAAATTTGTCATACAGCTTTGCAAACAGAGCGACTGTGAATCAGAGAAACTGAAAAGAAAAATAGATTTTTCTGAGAGCTTGACAGCTTTGGGTCATACACATTGCATACAGAGCTCAGTTATATTGCGTATTTATATGGAGAGGCACATTCGATGTAGTGTTGGGGGGTGGCTTCTACAGATAATGCTATTATTAATACAAAGGATGAATATTCTGAGTATTTTGTGCATTATGCAGCTTATACTGACAGATGCATTAAGAAAAAAAAAAAGCTGAAATCACTGAAATACAAACCCATTTGTACCCTGCATTTGAAATGACAACATTTAATAAATATGTCTCTTATTTAAAATGTAGTTTTCAGACATCTGATGCTTGTGACTTTCTGGACTAACGTCACAGATGTGGAATCTGAAAAAACTGTGGTCTCTTTTTACATATGTATGAAAATGCAGAAGATCTGATGTACATCTGTATGATTTGTTGAGAGACAAATAACTTTGGAAATATTTTTTTTTCAGAATTATTTGCTGTGTGCATTGCAGGAAGCAGATGTACACATTGCCAAAGGGAGCTGATGAGACTCATTAAGGGAAAAAGCTTGTAACTGCGGGTGTCTAAGAGCAAGTGCTTATTGCAAGCTTGCTCCTGGAAAGGGTACACTATTCAGAGGACTGATCCCAAACCTACCACAGTTGCTGCAAACCCTCCTCCTAATTCAGAGGGACTCGTGAACATGGTTTGAGTGAAGTCTTCCTCTGACATATTGGGCAGACCCCAAAGTAGCAACTGCTTCACCTCTGTCTCAGCTGAACTTCATCAGCTGTTAGTGGCTTGAGTTTTTTGCTTTGCTGGGATAGCACTCCCTGTCCTTTGGTTGCATTCTGATTACGGGTCATGAGCTCCATGTGCTGTAAGCACATAAAGGGAAGGCTCCATTTTAGGGCAAGTGATTACAAATAATTGTGGGTGCAATTCTGGACGATTATTTGCACAGAAAAAGTAGGCAATGTAAATATTTAGTTCCTGATCTTTGATTGTAGATGAACAATGAATGCGGTGGCCAAAGCATCTGTAATTGTTTTTATCTGCAGTGCTTAGAACCCACAACATACTGTAGCTTCTTTGGGAATAAGGTGAAAATGTAACCTTAAACGTTAACGGCCAATTACACGACCCTCCTTCACAGGTTATTTATTGAAAACTTTAATTAGCAGATTACTTATTTGGCATCTTGTATTCTAACTCAGGATTTAGGCAGTTGGATTCCTGCTATGGGTCTGTGCAAAATCCATCAATGATAAAGGTGCGGACCTCCCGCTCCTCACTCATACCCAGGGGGGCAAGGTGTTGAGGAGAGGTGCTTATTTGCTTTCTTGTGTAGTACCTAGCAGAATTGTTAGCAGAGTTCCTGTCTGGTGCAGGGGTTCAGACCTTGGCTTGGAGACTGGTTCTGTGTCACTCATGAGGATCTCCAGACCAGTGCCTGTTACTAAAATACTGTCACTAAGATGGCTTGCTCGAGGTCTAGGCATCCATGTCATTGCATGTTGTGGGTGAGGGGCATGAGCTGATCCCACTACATGCACCCGATTCCTTCCCAGGTGATCTGGATGGCACCCCATTCGAACCCCATTTGTGAGACCTGCCT